TTTTCATAAATTTCTCTCAATTTTTTCTTTCTTAAATATCAATCTAATTTTCAATTAAATCTTTAAAATGATCATTAAATTTACTCTTTTACAGGTCATGATATAGTGTTAGCCTAGATAGCCCACAATTAAATGAATCTACTAATTTTAATAAAAGGGTTAATAATTCAGTATAACTAAATTATAATATCTCCATATAATTAGAGAAATAACTGAAAGTCTCTTATTGTTAATATTTTGATGTTAAAACTTAAAATAAACAGCAGATTGGTAATGAAGTAAATATTTATTAACCTATAATGTTATAAACTCTTAACATTATACAAGAGGATTTTCATTATTTATGAAATATGAGGGGACTTAGTTATTTAATTAAACCTCATGGTGTCCTGTTAATTATTTTAAGATGCTTGCTGATCATCACTAGATGCGTACGTGGCACAATTTAATACCAGAAGCACTTGAATTTATAATACATGCGGACACAGAGGATAAAATTCCAAGAATTTTGGTAAAATCTAGGACTAGAATTGGCATCTTAACTAAATATTTGCAGTAATCTACTCATCTTAAAGCTTATCTTTATCTCTTATAAATTCAAAAAGCGGAAGCTAAAAAACCAAAACTATACAGTAAAAAGCACTTTTACCAGCAGCTGAAAGTGACAACAAAAAGCTGCTGAGGGTAGTTAAGACTTGGAGAATTCACTACGTCAACTACCATTCAAAACAACCAAACCAAAGAACAAAGAAGCGGTAGTAGTGCTTAAATATATTACCTCTTAATCCTTTGTATGGCAAAAGAAGAAGCAAAAACTGCTTCTTTAGACGCACCAAACCCATCTGTGGTGGACATAGAGATGGCCAGAAACTCAGTGTCATTGGCTCCTCCAAAGCCGTCGTGGTTCACTCCAAAGAGGTACTTCTTTGCTCTGTTTACTGTGTTTTTTTAGTTTCTGTCTGTTTGGTTGCTGAGAAAGTGAAGGGAAAGTGAATAAAGAAGAGATTTTAGATTTTGTTTCTCTGTGGGGTTGTTAGATATAGTGTAGAAATCGAAATTTTGGTAAGAATTATACTTGTTGAGTATGCACATTATGGGATTTTGTTTGGTTTCTGAGGGAATTAAGTTTATTTTAGTCGAATGAAGTTTAATGATTGAGTTCAAATGAAATATGTTGTTTGGTAAAACTGTAAGCACTTTCAATAGTGATTTTGTATCAATTTTAGTGTGTGAAAGCATTCAATGTTAAGAGTTCTTCAATAAATGCTGTTGTATTATGAGCTGAGCTACTGACATTGAGATCTAGATGAATTTGAGCTATTATTCTTTAATGAATTTAATGAAGTGTAGCACAGTCAAGGTAGTGCCAGTCGGGAGGTGAGTTAATTTGGGTGGTGTTCGATCTATGTTTTATATATCTTTACATGGTGAAGGTTTGCTGATCTTATGATCGGATCATGACTGATGATATCTTAATTTTAGTGTATTACAAAATCTGCTGTACTGTTCAGGCTACTGGCTATTTTCTGTGTGATCAACATGTTGAATTATGTGGATCGAGGAGCAATTGCAAGCAATGGTGTGAATGGGAGCCGCAGAACTTGCACAGATGGCACATGCACATCTGGTAGCGGAATACAGTAAGCTTACATTGAGGCTTTCATTTAAATTTTCATAGCTGTTCATGCCTCTTGAGGAATTGGATGGTAAATATTATATACTTGTAATTGATTTCATTAGGTGGATTGTAATCACAAAAAATAAAATAAGAAAAAAATAAAAAAATTGAGAACTTCATGTGCATTATATATATATTCTTTTTTGTCCAATCTGCGTCACTTACCTTATGGGAACTACTGCTATAGTGCTATGTTTATATGTGCCTTTTTGGCCGTGCTCTAAAATTGCTCAAATTTTAATAAGACTTTGCAACTCCTTTGACTTAAATTTTTTCATGGTTGCTTACAGGGGGGAGTTTAACTTAAACAATTTTGAAGACGGTGTTCTATCGTCCGCTTTCATGGTTGGATTGCTAGTGGCTTCCCCAATATTTGCATCATTGGCAAAGAGGTAATTATCTTCTTTGCATGCCTTTTTGTCAGCCTGTAACTGTGTAGGTAGAGGGGCCTGGTTTTTAGTTTTTTGATATGCTAGATAGGCTAGATATGCTGGAGATAAGTGAACAGATACTTATAATTATAAAAGGTATTAATTACTTAAATTAAAATGTCTAAATCTTATACTTAAAACTAGAAATTCATCTGATCTTATGATAGACATGATTGACATATGCATGGGGCTTTGATTATGGAAGATCATAGTGAAATATTTCAAAAATAGTCTTCCCAGTCATGGAGTTTTCCCTACAAAATATTTGTATGTTAAAGCAACAAATTTGAAGTTTATGAGGCACTTGAAACAATCATATGATTGCAACTCTATGTTTACTTGGCGTGTGTTTTTCAGCCTCTTGTCATCTTAACTATTTTGACCTCAATTTGATGTAGCCTGAATCACTTATTGACGCATGTTTCTTGTATTTGGTTGTGGGCTCTGCCATAATCATTGAGAAAATATCTATTTTAGGAACTATATTTTTAGCATGTTAACAGAGCAGGATTGGAAAAAAAGAATAGTTTGGCCCTTGTCCCTTGCTTTTGTACTATTCTCCTGAACTAGATTTCTGATTTAATATAGTGCATTTACTTTGGCATGAGTCCTAATATACTTGTGAATTTTTGCAGTCTTAATCCATTTAGGCTTATTGGAGTTGGATTGTCAGTTTGGACCGTGGCTGTAATAGGTTGTGGTTTTTCAAGGGATTTCTGGTCCATTACAATCTGCCGCATGTAAGTTGGTGACTTATGTCCTTATCTTCCTTCAGTTTTATTATTGATTTATTTAATTCAACAAATTAACTAGTACTATATCATTGTTGTCTCTCCAGGCTAGTTGGTGTAGGGGAGGCTTCATTTATTAGTCTTGCAGCTCCATTTATTGATGATAATGCTCCAGTTTCCCAGGTTGTATTTCTTTAAAAAATTTACGAGAAGAGAAGTAGCTGTTTTAATGAATATCTAGCTTCTGTAGAATGACTACAAATAAAATTATAAAATGAATGAAGTTTTATTATATTCATCAAATATTTCCTTTTTGTGCTAGATGAAGGGCATACTGTTGTTAAGTACACAAGATTGTATTAACTTAGCATGGATGCTTCTTCAATTCAAATATTTAGTCTCTGTGGGCAAAGAATACTAGTAATCTCTTAGGTAATTTCATCATATCTTGTTCTGAATGGTGCCCTGGGGGCCAGTTACTTGAAGATTTAAGATCTTGGACTTAAGAACCAACATGAAGTAGACTTAATTTGCTTCTCTGTGTTAAGAGTTTTGAGTTAGGGAGGAAAAAGAGAGTCAAGGTGTCCACCACCATTATTTAGTAGCCTTCCTATATATTATCGATTCTAAATAAATTTAAATGAAATAACCTTACACTATACTAATGAAAATAAACCTTATTAAGACATTTCAGTACTTTGAACACAGATCAAAGTGTGCAAACCATAAAACTGCCACTTGTCTGATTCACAAGTTATTAGAAAATATACAATTATCTTATTCAAGTGATAGAAACTTACACCGGTGTGAAAAATAACTTGCTTACATGTAAAGGCACTCTCTGTCCTATGATTTCTGCTCTTACTGTAGGTTTTTGTATGCTTTGTTCCGTTATGTCTTAAGTTATTCTCCCTGCTTGCAAGACCTTAATTGTTGGATATTATAGGACTAATCAAAGTTTGCTTATCCACAAAGCTCTATTGCTTTACAAAAAGAACCCAAACTTCTAATGAAGTTGGAGGGAGTCTTCATCAAATTACTTTTACTTTTCAATTGCCTTACATTTTGGCCAGTTGAGATACTTCTCTTTATTTCAAATTTTAATGTATATCAGCCCTTCTCAAAATTGTTGCATTCAAAATTTTTGAGGGGAAGTTGAAGAGAGTACCTTGTCTGTTTATTTTTCGATCTGCTGGTATGCTTTTTGATGTGGCAAGCTGAGACAGTCTTACTTTGACTTTGAAGAAAATCTATTACAATTGAGTTTGTAAAAATGGCTGGTATAAATATCTTGATACCAAATGCAGCATTCAATTTTGGCACTCTTTCTGTAAACCTGTGTCTTATACTCTTCCTTTGCTTCAGAAAACAGCATGGCTTGGAATATTTTACATGTGTATACCAACTGGCTATGCAATCGGCTATGTTTATGGTGGCTTGGTAAGTATTGTTCTCTCTCTCTCTCTCTCTCTTTTTTTAATTTAATTTAATTTTTTGTTATTTCCTATGATTACTAATGTTCTTCTGTCAAATATTCAGGGTGAAAATTTAGCTTTTCTTATATATCTCGTTGAGATTTTTTTAAGCTTTATTATTGTTCATAATATGTTGTGTTGACATCACTGATTCCCGTTTCCTTTTCAAAATGCATGCCCTTTTATTTGTGGGTGAAATTACAATCATCTTCCTTCTTTCTTAATAGGTGGGAGACCATTTTAGTTGGCGTTATGCATTCTTCGGGGAGGCAATACTGATGTTTCCATTTGTTGTTCTAGGTTTTGTTATGAAGCCTTTGCAGTTGAAAGGTGCATGTTGCTTACATACCGAGTGATTTGATCATTCTGACATATTCCAGCTATCTATAAACATTTTCTGGATACAGGTTTTGCTCACACAGAATCAAAGAAAGCACTGACAGATATAGAGACAGCTCTTCCTGAAAGCCAAGGTATGGACTATATGCTATCAAATTTATTCAGATATATGATAAAATGCATCAGAATAAGCATATAAATTCTAAGATATTTTTCGTTTTCCTTTTTTCTCTTTTATATAATTATTTTCTTTTAGGAAACAAGAAATTTTATTGATCAATAAAGAAAATTTACTTGTTCTTAATAATTGCTTGTTTCTGAAAAAACAGTCCATTTCTTTATGGACTGGATGCATAACAGATAAAAATTTATCTGTCCTGTCAGCGTATGTTGAATACACTACACTTAAAAGTTTAAAAATTCTTTCCATTAGTAGTAGTCATAAATTCTTTGCTTTAGCATTTTATTATCTATATCTGATATTTGAAGATTCAAGTTTGTTACGTGCTTAGTTAATTACTCTCACTACTTTGCAGTTATTTATCTTATGTAACTTGTCAGCAGTAGTTTAACAGTTACTTAATCCTTCATAGTTATTTATCTATAAGTATAAAAAATAAGAAAGTAAAAAATTTATGATCTCCCAACATGGTTTAATAAATGTGTGATTAAATGGCTTCAACAAAGTTCCCAAAGTCCTCAATCCATTTTCTGGTTTAGTGGAAATTCTAAATTTTATTCAATGCAGTTAAAAACAAGAAGAAACCATAGGTTTGAAATTGTTAATTATTTTTTTGCGCCCAATGACTCTTTGAATTGGAACATAAATTTTAGACTCTTTGTGAAGATAGGTGGCCATATTAATTGATAATATTTAGTCTCTTCTCATTTGTTGAGTTTATGCATGATGCAGATGTAGAGGTTACTACTGCTAAAAGTCACACGTCCCTAAAGGAAGATGTTGATAACAAAAACTCAAACAAATCTTCCAAGTGAGGACACATAGCTTGAATTTCTTTTATATATGTGTGTGTGTGTGTGTGTGTATGATTGCATGTTCTTCTATATGTCTTAATCCCGTCTGTTGTAGTATAGCGGAACTTCTACCATGATAACTTGGTATGTAGGGTAGGAGTGGGATTACCTTAATCATTGGTGGATTGAGTTAAACTAATCAGGGTAATTTTGTTCAAGTTCCCAATCAAGTTTTGATCTTTGTGTAAATGAATTATCTCACGTTTTATGTTGTTCATGTTAATCTCATAGAATCTGTTTATGAAATAGTCTACATATTTACAACTAGTTCAAGTTCCTAATCAAGTATTCAACATATGTGAGATGATTGTCTTATTAGTTGGAACATATTATTGACTGTGTTGGACCTACCATTATTGCAGGTCAAAAGATAGTAATATCATTAAAGATCTGAAAGTTCTTTTGGTTGATAAGGTGTATGTCATCAATGTTCTAGGTAATTTTTTCACTTTGCTTTACATATCTCCGGATTTTTGATGTTGTTTTTTCCTTTTATTGAGCTCTATGGGTTTTCTTGGATAAATTTACTATAATCAGCAAGTTTCAAGATAAACATTTTTCTCATAATATTCACTTTGGGATATCTGAGATGTAATCATTTCAATATTTGTTATGCTTCCATGTCATTATAAACTAGTTACTGAAAATGTAAGTTCCTGTTTTCAGGTTATATAGCATACACTTTTGTCATAGGCGCTTACTCGTATTGGGGACCAAAGGCTGGTCGTAGCATTTACAACATGGTAAGGTTTTAGCTTGGATGTGATATTAATTTGATTGGGGAAAGTTTTCTTTTATCATATTCTCACATTTTGTTTGCATATATAGATAATAATTTTACCAAATAAACTGAAGTAGCACAATAATATGGTTACATTGCTTAAAAAGTTAGGGTTCTTTTGCAGAGTGATGCAGATATGATCTTTGGTGGAATTACTGTTGTCTGTGGCATATTGGGCACAATAGCAGGAGGTTATATTCTGGATTATATGAATTCGACAATCTCTAATGCTTTTAAGGTAAATGCTCTGGCGTCTTTCCTTATATAGTTATTTACTCCTGAATGCATTATGTTGTCCCCAGTTTGGGCTGTTGTACGTATAGGATTAACAAAATCCAAAGTTGTCTAATAAAATGCTCAATGTGTTGAGTTCATGCAAAAATTTATTCTTTTAACCCAATATAAGTGAATAAAGAAAAAAGAAATATCATTTATGCTTCAAATTTTGTTGGTCCTTCTGAATACTTAGCTTGCTTAACTTCGTTCAACTTACATGATACCAGTAAAAATTTGTAGGACTAAACTCTTATTTGATCTTCTTTTGCAGCTTCTCTCAGCGACAACATTTGTTGGGGCAATATTTTGCTTTGGTGCCTTTTGTAATAAGAACTTGTATGCTTTCCTTGCTCTTTTCTCCATTGGTGAACTATTGGTCTTCGCCATTCAGGTATTACTTTTCCGAAGACTGAAAACACCTCATGTTTGTGTAGATGCTCCTGTTAATATTGCTAGTGCAAATATTAAATGCTTCTCGTTCTTCATGTAAAATTTTTTATGCTAGTAGATAAGTTTTACTTAATATGTCTTCAAGCAGTGATCTTAATTTGGAAATTCCTTTGCTATATGCTCCTCAAACTGAAACATGTAAAAACATGTTTGGAAGCTTTATTTGTGCCAGTGAAAATACCTTTTTTTTTAATGTTACTATTTGAACCTTGATCTTCCGATAACTTTTATCAGTTGTATTGGCTGAACTTTACTTCAGTGACAGGAATAATTAATTAGTATACTGAATGTTAAGTTAAAAAACATTATAAAATTAATTATGGAAGATATTGGCATTAAGCTAGCATATACTTTATGCATGCAAGCTATAGAATATTGTGTTGCTCAGTAAATTAGTTACTTTTATTAAACTGATATTCTAGCTCAAAAATGCATATCTATTGGGAAGAATGTAGAATAACCCTTTTAATGAATCTTTTATGAGTCTTTTGCAGGGTCCTGTAAATTACATAAGTCTCCATTGTGTTAAACCAAGTTTGAGACCGCTATCTATGGCTGTCTCTACTGTTTCGATTCACATCTTTGGAGATGTTCCTTCCTCGCCACTTGTTGGGGTTCTTCAGGTTTGCCTTCATAGACTGCATTATTATTAAAAAATAATGAAAACTATTCACTGACCAAGATGTTTTCTAAGCTTTTGGTCGTTCCATTGTAATCCATTGAAGTAGTGGTTTTGTAATCTTTTTCATATGATCTTCGCTTCATTCTAACAAAAGTTAGACACTGTTGGTTTCCACAGTTATAAGATTTTAAAGTTCATTGCATGTTAACTCTTTATGTTTTTAAATTGTAGTTATAATGTCTCAAACTCTTAATAAACATCCTTGACAGGACCGTGTTAACAATTGGAGGGAGACTGCTCTTATTCTGACCGCCATATTATTTCCAGCAGCAGTGATATGGTTTATAGGTAAAGTCATAGCTCGATAGTTCCGCTATCATCTTCTGGAGAACCATTTAATTCTCACCTGTTCCTTTTTCTGGGCGGGTAATTGTTCTAATATTTGCTTATATCTGCCGATTAAACCAGAGTCTAATAGTTTTGAAACTTCTAACGAGTCACATAACTGATTGTGAAATCTTGCCTAACTGAATTCATCTGCATACCAGGAATATTTCTGCACAGCGTGGATAGATTTAATGAAGAAAGTGAGCATCAAGTGAGTAGGACAGAAAGGTCAAACACAACACCGTTGCTTGAAGAAAGAAAACCAGAAACAGAAACTTCTGCACAACCACAGTAAGGTTTTTACAGCGTTTTTGGAATTATAGATTAGATGAATTCATTTTTTTGTGTAAATAATGTCTCTAGTTTGAGCAGAATGCGTTTATATTTTCACAGTTCAGAAAAAGAAACAATGTGAGACAAAAAATTTCCCACCTTTTGCTATTCATGAAATAGTAAATACAAAATTATCTGCTTGGTTCAGTCATCTCCATTCTGCCTCTATATATCAGTCGTCCTGTGAATGTTAACAAGGCTGAAAGCAACTTCAACACTCTGTTTAATTGAAATTTAATAATTTTGCTTAATCTTATCCGTTAATTATGGGAGGGGATGGTGTAATAATAATTCTTAGTACATTTTGTATGGTTTCTTTGAAGAGAATTGATTGTTTAAATGGATGGATTACTTTAAATGAAACAATACCAATCTATATCTACTAATTGATTGGTGGTCATACATATCCGACTGCTAAATTATCGCATGTTTTATCATAAAAAAGTCATATTGGAGGTTACCTAACTTGGAATCTGGATTTAAGTTATGTTCTAGAAGATTTCCCAAATTTTATATTCATTTATCAGATTTCATTTGATATTAAAACAAAGACTAAGCATTACCACCCAAGATTTGCCTTAATGCCTTTTTCACCCAAAAATTTCAAAATACCACTTTTCCACCCAAAGTTAATATTCTGTTACTACTTAAAGTCGATTTTGACGGTGAAAATTCTTTCTGTCATCACCATTTGAACTTCCGATCTCCTCTTTAAAAAACTTCTCTACTATAGCATATGATTTCTTGCCGATTACTGGCTACTGCAAAGCTAGAGTTTTCTGTTTTTAGTTGATTTCTAGCTGATTTCGGTGACAAATATTCAATTGGTCACCACCATTCGAAATACTGACATCCACTCTACAAAAACCCTCTTACCCTGGATCTTGGTAACTAATGTTTTAATAACTAGTCGGGGTGAAACCTAGCAAAGTTGTTGGTTCCTGGGTTGACCAGTCGGTCAAACTGGGTGACAACTTTTAAAATTAAGCAAATACACCCCTAAAAATTCGTTAAGTCCTTATAGGTTTAAAATTTAGCAAACACACCCCAAATACAAATCGGTCGGTGATTGGTTGGTAGTGGCGATACCCCAAATGCAATCCCAATCGTCCCTTGAGCCAATTCCCTAGAAAATCTACCCAAGATATGGTTGAAATCGGTTCGATTTTGGCCAGATCTCATTGCTGCCGGCGTTGACAACCCTCCCCATCACCTCGAAAATATTTCCCTTTTCCTCTCGACCAAAACCCACCTCACCCCACTTTCTTTAGCCTAACCAATTGCTAGCAAAAGCCAATTGTTGCTGTTGCTAGTTTTTTTTTTTTTTTTTGGCTGATTCACATACTGGAAATCAACTTCGTCGCCACCATTGCACTTTCTCTTCAAAAGCTGCAACATCTCGACCTTTAATTGTTCGTCGATCATCATCCAAAATTCAAGGGTTTTGGGTGTATAGAAAAAATGTTAACCTGGCCCAGTGAAGCTCTTGGTTCCCAATTAAATCGGTAGGGCCGGACCGGGTTTTAAAACAGTGTTGATGACTCGCCAAACATCGACTGAGAAAGTGAAGTGTATTTTGGTTATTAACAGAATATAAATATTGGGTGAAAAAGTGATATTTTGAAACTTTTTAGATTGAAAAGTGTCATTAAGACAAACCTTAGATGAGAAAAAGTTGTTTACTGTAAAACAAATCTATAATGTGATGACAATGTATATCTTAAAATTTAGTTAATCATATTTATTTAACTAACCATTTTATAATAATTACAATAATAACTTATTAAAGTTATATTCAATTCCATAATTCTGCCATATCAATACCATAAGAAATTAGGTGATCTTAGGATTCGTATCTATGATTTTGATTTATAAAATATCAAAAAAAAAAAAATGTCATTTTTTTTCCTCTTTGAAAACTAAATATATTTAATAACTTAATGCCTTTAATGCTATGTGTCAATATTTCCTTAGGAACTTAAGATAAGCATGAGATGAGCACACGTGTCAGGCAGGTGGCATTGTCAATCTCCTTCCAACAGCTACAACTAAAGGCAAAACTAGTTTCATAAAACAAGCTCTACTTAAAAACCAGGTGCAGTCAAGCCCACAATTTCA